GACACACACACCTCACAATCTCTCACACAGCTGCAGGTGCCCCCAGTACCTAGACATGGGAAGCTCTCGACCTCTGTATCAAAAGCCGATACAACGTATTAAGAAGCCAGGATAGAACCAGGCTAGCTACAGTCAGAATTGGTAGAGAACACCGGGACCGAGCAGAGACTTACTTGGCAAATTTTATACAGAACTGAGTGGACACACACACCTCACAATCTCTCACACAGCTGCAGGTGCCCCCAGTACCTAGACATGGGAAGCTCTCGACCTCTGTATCAAAAGCCGATACAACGTATTAAGAAGCCAGGATAGAACCAGGCTAGCTACAGTCAGAATTGGTAGAGAACACCGGGACCGAGCAGAGACTTACTTGGCAAATTTTATACAGAACTGAGTGAAGTATTTTCTCGTGGAGGCCAGATTGTCACGGATGACGGGAACATTCTGCTTAATATGAAGAATAACGGACGTGACATAAGGACTCTGGTCGCCAACGTGCTCCACATTCTGCCACTGCATCTGCAGGAGGTGGTAAAAAGACCGGTTACTTCATCAGGCTTTAGACAATGTACAAATAAACTACAGCGTAGAGTACTGTGGTGAGCCCTGGCGTTTACCAATCCAGCCTTTTCTCTAGGGAGTCTCCAAGAAAGTCACCATAACTCTAATCAGGTGGCCTTCTATGTCAGCTGATCGATGGCCAAACCCCTGGCAGAGAATGAAGATCTGCTTTCTCATCCAATTACAGAACCAGAGCACCGTTGAGCAATAGAGACGATGCGAATTAGAATGGCCCTAATACAGAGCTGAGGTCAGAATATGAACCAGTGCACGGGTGGTGGAAGTACACAGGTGTGCGCAGGTACATGGAAAGAGCAGAGGGATAAATAGCTTTGCGTGTAAGTTACGGGGACACTCCAGCCTCTTAGAAAGTTTCTTTTCAACCGTTCGCCGTTCCTGGAAATGAATTATCCCATACATTCTAATTCTGGGCATTTAAGAGAGTGCCTGCAAGACCGGAAAAAGGCTCGACTCCCAAATCAGAGTAAAAGAATTGAGGGTGGTCAGGCTGAGGACAGCTAGATAAAGAGACAAAGAACCCAGTGCAACTCAGAAATGTTCCATATGGGAGCTCAGCTGACACAACCCTCGTAACATTCCTGGTGGGGGAGGCCAGAATGCAAGACTCCAGAGCATCTGAAACGCACACCTAACACTGTACAACAGCAAAAGAATAATGACTGAATCCCCTCTCTTTCCTGTGCCTTTCCTGTACAACTCAGTAGGTGTCTTTAGTAAGACTTTTGATGCTCTGACAACGAACAAAACATACAGCGGACCCCTTCTGAAAGGAGGTAAACAGCTGAGGCCTTTCTGTCCCTAAAGCAATTCCCTCCTCGGGAGTAAGAACATCCAGAGAGATGCTGCTTAGGGCTCTTACTGTCTGAGCACGTTTAATGAATAATGGTAAGCACCCGATTCCCTTTTGTAATATGGTCCCAGGAAACTGATTCGCACTGCAGCTTTAAAATCCAAGGAAGCCACAAAGATGAATTATGAATCAACAAAATAACAAAATCGTGATGGAAATCTGGATGTAATTTGCAGGGGGAAGTGGGGTTGGGAGAAAGATGCAACTATTTCTGTTTCCTTTAAGAGATGCGTTTGGACAGTATCTACCAGTATCTACCTTCAAACTTGCTTGCCTAAGTGCCAGATCTGCCTGTAATGCTCCCTTGCTATTTTTAATTTTATTATAGATGCTTTGGTTCCATAGCACTTTCCAGACTCAACTCCATGTCGATGATGAGTGGCACAGGTGATTTAGTGGGTAAGAGCAGCCAAATCTCCAGTGTCTAGTGGCAGAGTCTACATACATCTCATACACAGCATTTTTAAGTCACCAAAACTGAAGCGAAACACACACACTCCGTAGGAAAGGGACAGTTTTCTCACTGCCTGTTCAGTAGTTTGTAACTCTGCCTCTGCTCTGTTCAGACTAGTTCAACTGCTCTTCAGTGGTTTGCAGCAACTATCACACCTGAAGAAACAGAGCTAATAACTGTTTGCTTGCCACACTGTCACACATTCCCAGCACCACATATTCCTCACCGATGGCAATTCAAAATCAATGCATGATCAGGATAGACAGAGCACATCTAGACCAATGTCAAGTGTATTGCTGAGCCGATGGTACAGAAACGGCCCCTCTCCCCCGCCTACAGCACTGTAGACAATTTGTTTTGCTGGGTTTCATTCCTAAAGCAATTCTGATAACTAATCTTATCAAAATGTAAATTCAAATTAACTGTGTGCGCGCGCACACGCATTTTTTCAGTAGGGCAACAGTAGCTAGAACGAAAGGAATCATGCACACACATACTGAAAAGTCATCCAAAGAAATATGAACCCAATTTTTCTGGTAAAGGGTAACTTTTCTGCTGTCATTTTAAATTTACTCTTCAGGACTTGAAAGTGTTTTTTTCCGTTTGTATTTGCCTTGGGCTATCTCCAAGTTATAGTTATTAAAAGTAACTATCTACTTAGAAGCACAGATGATACCCAATGACTACACATTTTACAAGGTGGAGTCCTATCTTCACTTAAGATCTGCCCAAAATATTCAAGAGGAGAGAAAAACCTGGACCATTTCCATCTGAAATGAATATTCACATTATTTTCCATGTGAACTCTCCCTATGAATAACAAAGCCAAGATATGCTTAGATGCTTGGGCATTTCATATAGCTTTGGACTATATTACATATAAACAAGCAAAATGATAAGGTCTCTCACATGTGAGAGAGAAAATGTGACACCCAGACCCAGACATTGAGACAAAGAGATGAGCAGCTGCGAACTGAACAGATGAAAGCGTACTGTGCTGAGGGGCTCAGCAAGGATCTTAGAAAAAACCCACCAGCAAAACTCGGGTGGTTTGCTATGTAACTAGAGCTGCAGAAGTCCTGGATTTTTATGATACAAATTCATAACAAATGTTCCGATGAAGGCAGTTCACATTACAGCAATGTGGCCGCTTCGTTGCAATAGTGTTTATTTTGCAAGTTTTGTTCCTCACGCTGAGAAACGTTCAGCTTTGTGAGTTATGTCAGACTACAAATCACAGCTTTTCTGCTGGCAGATGTGCATAACAAGCGTTCGCTAGTGCACTGCACATTCTATGCATGACAGACACATGCACACAGACCCTTGAGCAAAAGACCTCTCCCAACGCCTGCCACGGGTCACTACTGGACGTTTTGTGCTGAGTCTCTTCTCATTTTCTGCATCCAAGTCAAGTTTCTCATCCTCATTCTCACAATGGTTTCCCACCTACTTTTCAGCTTTCACAACCAGGCCACCAACCGTTAGGGGCAAAACCCACTCGTCTAACTCATCCGTAAGGCACCTACCACTGCAGACTGTTTCCAGGTAATACAATAATGCCTCCATGCCACCCATTCCCTCTGCTCCTTCAACGCGTAAGGCTGTCCCTGAACTACTTTCTCTCTCGCTTTACATCTTTTCATGCCCTCTCTGCACCTGAAGAACCTTCCAAATCCAGTTGCAACCAACAACTTCCCGCTCTTTCCTTCAAACCCACTTTCATCAAACTCTCCCAATGCTGCCTGCCTGTCACTGTTGTGTCTACACATTCTTGCTGTCATAGGCGTGTGCAGCACATTTCATTAGGGTGTGCACCCAAAGAATTTTTTAAAAATGTACTTTGACCCCCATTGGCCACACCTCTGGAGGTAACACTCTCTGGGCAAGATGGACGCGTGACCAAAAGGTGTTATGTAACCCCCCCAAGGACTTTTCCCACTATCCTCCTAACAATAGGGATTAGTTTGCCCCCCCCAAACTCCCCCCATGCAACTATCCTGCATCCCCCCCAAGTGTTTTTATGGCATAAATTCCTAATAAGAATAAGAACAAATTACTAGTACATTCTTAATAAATATCACCCAAGTTATTAATAAATATCTTATAAACTTCTACCTTTTCCCTCTGCTGCCATGTCTCCTCCCCTTGCTCCATCAGCTCCCCTGGTGCCTGCTGCTCCCCCAACCCCTCACCCTCCTCTGCTGTCCTGACTCCTGCCCTTCTCACTGCCCTCAGCCTTCCTGCAACCTGCCCCCCTCCACCAGCCCTTCTCTCCCCCCTGTGCCCACTCCTCCAGTAGCCCCACTCTGATCATGTGAACTACCCCTCCTCATACCCTCTACTAACACCTCCCTCTACACATCTGCCCTGCCTCTCTCCTCTGTTGCTGGTCCCCCCCTGCAGGTCTCTACCCTTCTGCTTCACCCCCAGAATCCCCTGGCACCTGCCTTCCCTTAGCCTACACCCTCCTGGTGCCTCCCCTTCCCTCACTTTCCGTGCCCCCTTTGCCCTCTTTTTCCCTGATGCCCTCCCCCTCACCACCTTCTGCCCCCAGTCTCCTCATGCCCCTGTGCCCTCACACGTGACTTGCTCCATCCCTGCCTTCCTCATGCCCATCCCTTCTTTCAAGCCTTCTCCCAGAACCTCCCCCTCTCCCCTCTAACCCCCAATACCCTTACCCTTTCCTCTCCCAGCATCACCCTGTCCCCCTCCCACTGACACCTCCCCTCCTGCCCTTTTCCTCATTGTCTGCACTTGGCCCCCTGGCATTTGTGTCTCCGCTACCCTGTCCCTTGGTGCCTTCCCCTTTCTTTTGCTGACCTGCCCCCCTCCCTCATCTTATTGTTGTCCCCTTCCCCTCCCTACTCTTATTTCCCCCCCTCCCCTCCCTTACCTTACCTTCAGCTTCTGCCTTCCAGCTTGCAGGGCTGGAGTCAAAGTCGGCCCAAACTACAGACCGGCCAGGCCATAGCCCGGGGTGCCTCAGGGGTGCCACACAGTGCTGCCGGGCTGGGCAGAGGCGCCCCCGGGGAGGCCACGCAGTGCTGCCGGGCGGGCGGGGGCGCCCCCAGGGAGGCTGCGCAGTGCTGCCCGGCCGGGCGGGGGCACCTCTGAG